AGATGTAGGACCTTGTATGGGTTAAATTTGGTTTGGATAATATATCCATGTATATATTACTTCTATATTTTGTTGTCTGTTATGCAGAAGCATTCTCAGGCACAGTTGTTTTCTGTCCTAAAATCACCACCTGCCTTGTCCAAAGAATCCTCATGCTACTTGCCTTGATCAAATTTTAGAATTCATGGGTATCTAGATGACTCACTCTTTTCATGCAAGTTTATGGTTCAGAGGATAACAACATTTTTCTCTTGACAGGTTTTGTCATATCCAATCACTGTAGGTAAAGGTAGCAAGCCTAAAAAAAATATCAAAATCCACATATTTTAAGGTACAATCTGAAACACTTTATAAACAAAACATAAATAAGTAGGCTTAATGTGGCTTTGAATATTAATGTCTGTCATTTTGGTAATTTTATGCTAAGTCTGTGTTCATTCTGTCTGCTTTAAACAGCAGTAAATAAAACCATAATGAATGGTGACATGTCCGACGCACTCAGTGCTGTGAAGCAGCCAGAGAAGACATCAGGATGGCATCAAATTAGAGGAAAAGGATTCAAAAGAAAGCAGAAAATATAATTAAGCTGATATGTAAAGTCCATGGGGCATTAGCAGCTGTAAGACCATGGCAATTTGGGTCTCTCACCTCAGAAAGGGCTTACTAGAGCCAGAAAACGGCAGCAAGGAGGATCCAAATTGTCAAACACACTCCCTACAAGGAGAAATGAAATCCAGAAGGAGTTTCCAGCTGGGAAAAGACACGAGTGGCACAGTGGGAAGGCAGGGAGGAGAGGGGTGGAAGGGCCACCATGAACCATACTACCATCCTGGAAGGTGTCAGTGAAGCCTCAGTCGTGATCCTCATAACTCAAAGACTGAGATAACTCAACTGATGTTTCAGTAGGGACTGAAACAAGCAGACAAAGGGAATATTTCCCTGTGCTGTGCATGGTCCAGCCCTCACTGCTACAGGCAGCTGCATAGTCTGTGGATATGCCTGGGTTCAAAGGGGACCAGGCCAAGCGGATGAGAAGGGCTGTTGTTGTCGAAAGCAATCAATCTGTGTAATTGAAATTGCCCCTAAGCTAGCCTGGAAGCCCTGGGGGATGGAGAAGCCAAACTAATTAGGCTCATCCATACTGCCATTACTTGTAGAGCCAGAATCCTTAGCCAGAGAGTGTTTTCTTCTCTGGTGAGGGGCACCAGGCTATCTGGGGCCTGCTGCAAGTAGGAGGAGCAGGGCTATAGCAACAGGGGACAGGGCAGAAGGGGCTATCAGCCCCTTGGAAACCTTCAGGATGCACCAAAGCCTCTACCACCCTCTGCACTGACTTGTCCCACTGTCCCCTGCTAGCCCTTGGATTCATAGAATCATAACATTTTAGGGGTTGGAATGGAGCTTAGAGATCACCCAGCCCCAACCCCCTGCCCTGGGCAGGGACACCTCCCACCACACCAGGTTGCTCAAGGCTTCATCCAACCTGGCTGTGAACACTGCCAGGGTTGGGGCAGCCACAGCCTCCCTGGGCAACCTGTGCCAGTGTCTCACCACCCTCACAGGGAAAACTTCTGCCTAAGATCTAACCTAAATTTCCCTCCTTCAATTTGTGCCCATTGCCCCTTGTCCTGTCCCTGCAGCTCCTAACACAGAGTCCCTCTGCAGCTTCCCTGGAGCCCCTTCAGCTCCTGGAAGGTGTTCTGAGGTCTCCACACAACCTCCGCTTCTCCAGGTTGAACAGCCCCAACTCCCTCAGCCTGTCCTCATAGGGGAGATGCTCCAGTTCTCTTAGCAACTTTGTGGCCTCCTCTGCACTTGCTGCAACAGTTCCATGTCCTTCTTGTGTTGAGGACACCAGAACTGCACATTTGTTAATCTACCCTAGAGCCACGAGGCATTCCACAGATGATTTTATGAGGAACAAGACGAGGAGGGCAGCAGCACAGCCTGCACATTGGTAATCCTTGGGGTTTTGTGCATTACAGGTTTTCTTGGGTCCCTGTGCACAGCTCTCTTTGTGGCATATGCAATACAAGGGAAACCCCTTGTGCAGTGGGGAAGAGAGATGATGAAGGTTGTGCCAATGGCTGAGGAATACTGCAAGAAGACCATTCGTCACATGGCAGGTAGCTTTCCCCCATTTCCTCTCTCCACAGGTTGTTCTCCTGCTTTCTCTGTCAGAGACATTAGCTCTTCACAGGTGGTGCCACCTTCTTCTACCACCTGTTAGCTGCCTCGTGTATTGGGGGCAACAATGCAAAGAGAACTAGAAATGACAATGCCCTACTGCACAGTTTTCTTTTTAGGAAGACTTCAGAGATTGCTGGGCAGCAGGGAGGAAGGAAATTATATTTAGCAGGTTTTTAGGCAAAGTGACTGCTGAGATAAGAATTATTCAGCTCCCTTCCATCAATTAGTACAGTCCAATATTTTCTGTAAGAAAAACCACTGACACTCCTCATCCTGTCAGGAAAGGTTCACCTGCAGATGCCTCCTGACCAAGAGTTAGCGTTGGACCACAAATTTACATTGGACATGTTGCTTTTCTGAAAACGTGTTTAAGATACAACCTGTTGTATTCTTGTTTTAAAGCAACTGAATGTCACACAACTACTGAATTTGTTACTGCTACTTTACTAATGTGTGTGGTCTTAGGGACAAAGGTATTTTAGTCCCCTCTTGTCAGGGAGTGATGAGATTCAGGTGAGATGTGAGGAGAAATGTTTTCCCTGTGAGGGTGTTGAGGCACTGGGATATTGCCCAGGGAGGTGGTGGAGTCACCATCCCTGGAGGTGTTGAAGAGGTGTCTGGATCTGACACTTCATGGTATAGTTTAGGGTTTAGGGGTTCCAGCAGTGACAGGTTAATGGTTGGATTTGATGATCTTAGAGCTCTTCTCCAGCCTTGATGGTTCTATGATTCTATGATGTATTTGTAACAGTGAGACCTGACATGGACATTGCCTCAAACCATCAAGGGAAGAGACTAAGGGGTGGCTGTTGGGAAATGTTGAATTCAATGGAAATCTTTACTCAGGACCATGAAATGTTGAATTCAATGGAAATCTTTACTCAGAAATTGAATTCCCATGAAGGAAAACTGCTGCTTTGAAGTCTGAAAGGAGCTCCAGGAAGCCTTCCTGAAAGACCCCACATTTTCCTCTGTGCCTCATTGCACACCAGGATTTTTTTAGCTGAGACCTATGAGGAGCAGGTGCAGGATTAATGTGAGTGAGTGTCTCTCTGAGTGGCTTTGCAGCAGGTCCCTGTCACTCCACCCCAGCAGGACCCATTGGCGTGGAGGTATGTGTGTTGGACTCCTGAGGCATGTTCTCCAGCTACTGCCTGTATTGTTGAGCTTTGTCCTATTTTGGTAGTGGGAAAAGTGTCCTGCATTAAAGTTAAGCTCCTTGGCTGGGGAGATGTGCTGTGAAGAAATCCTGCCAGGCAGGATCCTCCGGTTTTAGAAAACACTATTTTAGCTGTATTATCCCCCATGGATAACAAACACAGTGTTCAGTCACAGAGAGTTCAACTCAACACCCCTCTCTGATATCCAGTTGCCATGTCAGATAGTTTCGTGGACCTGAATGTGACCCTCATCTCAGCTGGGCTCAGTCAATAGTGCAGAGCCTTGCTAGGGTTAGTGGCATGACATTTCTGACCATGCTACTGGTCTCACACAACCAAAATTTCCTGCAAGAGTTTGTTTCCTCTGTTTCTGAGCCTGTAGAATAATCACACTTCCTTGCTCATTAAGTTGCTACATAGAAAACACTGATTTTTGAGGCATTTATAGTTTTTGGTCATGGGAGAACAAAAGAAACCTGGCAGTTTACCCACATTTCTTAAAGAAACTGGCGTGGGTGTTGCTAGTTTAGGTCAACAAACAACATTTGCTTTGTTTTCCTCTACATGCTCTAGATACCACTAGATGCTCTCCTTGGCCTGATGGCTGTGAGTGCATTTTCACTCTGTTTTTCTAAACACCCTCAACATTTTGGGTTCTGGTGAATGGTTTCCTTGTAATCAGGCCATACTGAGTGATGCATGCAGGAAAAGGTCAGCTAGGCATTCCCAGGTGTATGGGACATGTGTTTGAAGGCTCATCCCTGTCTGGGGCTGGAGCACTGAAAACCTTGTAAAAGTATCAGGTCCTAGAGCTTGGATTGTTTTGCAGGAAAAAAAGCAGCCAACATACCCCACTTTAAAGATCTCAATTGCCAATTAAAGATCTCAATTGCCAATTTAAAGGTCTCAATTTCCATCTGTATGGAATTTTAGGAAAAGAAGCACAAATCAGATTGCCTCCTTCAGAAGAATGGGTTGGTTTCATGTGTGCTCCTAAGCCACTTGAGCATAACACTGAGTGGCCAAGGAGAGAGGCAGGAGAAAAGAACTGCTAGTTTGCCTTGGCATACTTAGCCATCTGGTCCATCTCACTGTTTCCTAACCCCTTATTCCTACCCTCTTGCCCTGCAAGGTTTCCCTCAGGCCTCAGTTCCACAGCCAGGTGCATGTGTATGTGCTCAGCAGTTCAGTGTGACAGACTCACATGCCTTTTTAAGCCTTTATAAAGAGGTTGAACCAAAGCACTGGATTGAAAATAAACTGAATTTAATAAGATTATTTGCACATTAAGCATGATCACAGATCATTTCCCAAAGTGACAGGAAAAAAGGACAAAGACCTATAGTTATTAAAACAGGCTTAATTCCATGGGCACAGATGGCAGATGTGTGTGTTAGTTAGAGAATCATAGAATTTTATGGGTTGGAATGGACCTTAGAGATCATCTAGTCCCAAACCCTGCCCTGGGCAGGGACACCTTCTCACTAGATCAGGTTGCTCAAGGCTTCATCCAACCTGGCTGTGAACACTGCCAGGGTTGGGGCAGCCACAGCCTCCCTGGGCAACCTGGGCCAGTGTCTCACCACCCTCACAGGGAGAACTTCTGCCTAAGATCTAACCTAAATTTCCCCTCCCTTTTACCACATTTGATATGTATTATAATACATGCATATGGAAATTTTGGCCTTTCCTCTTTGCCTTTTCCTGAAAGATCACACAAGAAACACTGTGAAAAGAGAACAGAGATACTGGGGAAATTATATGATTAAAAACTGATAACTGAGCTAGGTGACAATTTGTATTCAGGATATGGAAACACTTTTAGAAATCCTTTAATCATAGAAAGCAACAAAAATATTGGCATAGAATTGGGATTTTCCTCTCTTTTTGCTGACTTTGGAGTGCTCCTCAGTAAATTCTCTTCGATCCTCAACTCGATATATCTTAAGGTCATTTTAATATGCCATTAAAACAACACAATATTCTGAGATTATTTCCCTCATTCACATCCTCTGTTTCTGATGAGATGTCTCACTCCATATTAATATGCATCCTTAGGTCATATCGGTAGGTTATTGTGAAATACTTGGGAGTTTGTGTCAGTCAATATCATCATGTTTTTTAACTCTTATTAAAGTAGAACTGAAAATGTTGTCAAGACAAAACATTACATCCTTCATTCCTTCTGCCTTCAGAATATCAGGAGCACTGGTTTTACTTTGAAGCCAAGTGGCAGTTTTATCTGGAGGAGAGAGAAATCAATGAGGAAAATCAGAATCAACCTGTCTTTCCAGACAACTATGACGCAGAGGAGAGAGAAAAGGTAACTGCAACTTCAGAAAGCACCTGGGGAAGTTCTGAGCTGAGAGAGATGTTTTCAATAGAGACACACCCTGCAACTTCAGAAAGCACCTGGGGAAGCTCTGAACTGAGAGATGTTTTCAATAGAGACACACTGCTGTTTGTCAAGTGATTCCAGTGCCAGAGTAGTCAGAAAATGTTTCTTTTTCTCTGAAATGGCAAGAAAGGAAAAACAACTTCCATCCCTGCCTCAGGTATGTGTTAGCATAAAGGAAAAAGCAATTGCCACCAGTCCTGGGATTGCTGCAATGGGAGCAAACAGTGCAGAGAGGCAGATCTAATGGTCTGGCAACTGGAGCAGGTACAAATTGTAAGCCATGGCTAGTTGAGGGTGGAAAAGGCCAATGTCTTGCCTGGGGTCTCATTAAAACCCAACGGAGCAGTGACCAGAGTCCCACAGAAATCCCTCCAGGTATGAGAAGCTGGATTGGGTCGTGTCTAATGGAAGGTGTCCCTGTCCAGGGCAGGGAGCTGGAACTTGATGCTCTTAAAGGTCTGTTCCAACCCAAACCATGCTCTGATTTTCTGGTCCTTCAAGCAAAGAAGACAGACATCATTCTCTGCCAATGCAGCCTGTGCCCAAGCTAGTTTTAAGTGCCTTGAGAGATGGTATTTCACCACATGGTGAGAATGGTTGGAATGCACCTTACAGATCATCCAGCCCCAACCCCCTGCCCCGGGCAGGGACACCTCCTCACTAGATCAGGTTGCTCAAGGCTTCATCAAGCCTGGTCTTGAACACTGCCAGGGTTGGGGCAGCCACAGCCTCCCTGGGCAACCTGGGCTAGTGTCTCACCACCCTCACAGGGAAAAACTTTCTTCTCACATCTTTCCCTCCTTCAGTTTGAGCCCAAAGAGATACATCTCATGAGATACTATTTTATAGCACACATGATCTTTCCTTTGCCTCATGACTTCTAGTTAACTCTCCTTAACTCGAGAGAAATAATGTGTCTTCTTCCCTGGTGTTTACAGCTATCTGATATGTGCTGGCACCTCTCAAAGCTCTCCACTTAGCAGCTGAACAAGAAGTATGTGGTTCTTGTCACCTTTTCCCATAAACCAATCCTTTTTTTTTCCCAGACTATTAAAGCAGAGCTCTATTCTGAGGTGTCACTTTGTGTATTTTTAGCTGATTATCTATGCAGGGAAATGTGCCAATGGAAGTCAGATTGGCTGTGGATAATAAGAAATTCCTCACTCTAAACATAAAGAATAGATTCTCTCCAGGTTTATTTTACTCATTCAGTGCCATGAATTCACTAGTAGTTTTTTATTCCTTCCAGAATTTTTCCTCCAGCTACTGGAGCCTTAGCAGAGCTTTAGGAGAGATTAAACCAAACAGCTATTTCCTCATGGTCATTTCAAGAGACAACTGCATGATTTACTAATGCAGAAGCAAAATTTGCCTTCATTACCCTAGCCCCACTATTTTGGCCTTATTGAGCTACTTATTTTGAGGGACAAGACAGGAAAAATGTTGCTTGACCCTCAAACTTCACCTCCTGCCAGAGATCACAGCCTGGCAGATGTGGAGTCACTTCATTTGTGTGTGAATAGCTATGGAAAGAGTAAATGAGGAGAAGGTAGCTGCTCTGCCTGCCTTTTTCCCTGCTCTCCTTTGCACTCCCTCCAAACTAACTGGCCCCTTGTGTCTGGGAGTACAGCTGCTTGGCCAGGGGCACCTTTCTGCAGGCTCAGTGCCAGCTGGATGCAAGAGTGAAGCCTTCAAACATGGCTTGGGTTGTTCTGGGTACGTTGCAAAGGCAATTTCCCTCTCTAAAAGAAATCCCACTTCAAAATGCTTAGCAAAGGCCACAATCTGCAGAAGTTGGTATAGAGCTCAAATTTGGAGATAGCTAGAGAAGGGGGGATAAAAGACAAATTACTCCTGCTTGGATGTACAAATACAAGATGGGCCAATGTAGGATAAAGCATTTTTCAGTGTTTGGAAGACATTAGATGCACAGGCATTGCTCCACACTTGGGATCAGCCTTGTTTCTGCAAACAAAACACTCCCATGGTCTCACTTTCCCGTGCTGGACACATTGTGTGACAAAATGAGGGAGGAACAAAACCAAAGTCATCCAGTCCAATTAGACTCTGAGGAGATTGTTCCTTAAGATGGAGTTGCCTAAACCAGCACTGTGAAAGAAGACAGAAAGGTGGGGGGAAGTGAATGGCAAGAGAGTGCTAGTCAGCAGTGGGTCAGCTGCAGAAGGGTGAGGAAGTCAGAGGCAGCTGTAATTACTGGCAGCAGGGGTTGACAGTGAGGAGGAGATGTGAATTACCTCCAGGGCTTGGCAGCAGCTCAGAGCCTTCAGCATAAGAGAGTGCATGTTGACACCCCATCCATGCACTAGGTCCACCCACCTGAGGGAAGCTGTGCTGGTGCCACATCACAGGGCTGCACCAAGGTGCTGGAGTTGAAAAGGTTTGCTGTCTTGGTGCAGTTAAGTCCCCCCTGGCTCAGTCCTGAGGACACCTATCCCTACTGCAAAGCTGTTCCAGCAAGATGAGATGATACTGGATGTGTGCAGAGCATCAGCAATGTGAAGGACTAAGCAGAGTGACACTTGAGCTGCCTGGCTGAGCACCCAGAATAGCACCTCCACTCTCAGCCCTCTTGTCTTTGGGAGTGCTGCACATGTGTCTGATTCAGAAATTTCTTTAGGGGCTTAATTTCAGACTATGTTGATTCAAGCCTCAAGTTTGGGTGTTCTACCCGCACTGCAGCAATGAGGCTGGAATTGGCATGTGGCAGAGGACAGTGTAAAGACATAGATACTCTCTCTGAATTGTAAATCATAGAATCTTAGAACCATAGAATTAACCAGGTTGGAAGAGACCTCCAAGATCATCAAGTCCAACCTTACTGTGGTTACTAGACCATGGCACCAAGTGCCACATCCAGTCTCATCTTGAAAACCTCCAGGGATGGTGAATCCAGAAAGCAGCAGAGTGAAGCTGTAGTCCAGCTCTGCCTTATTTGATGTATGTGCAGATAAACCACACCCAGCAGGAAATGGCTGAGGGGGAAGGGAATAGGGAGAAATGCAAACTCTCCATGTGTGTTGCAGAAGCCAAGTAACAACATTTCAACTTGCCACAATGCAATGTAAACATCAGGAAATAAAGCTGCCCACTGTTTAATAGGAAGGGATTTTTTTTTGTTATGAATTTATCATTGTTGAGTTAATTTAGGGATTTGGGGCAGGAAAAAACTGAGTTCTGGAGGTACCTCTAGAGAAAATCTGATTTTCCTTTAAAAACCTCATAGTGGGTTTGGAGTTCTTCCTTCTCCTGGGGAAGAAATGTTTCTTACATTGGCAAATCATTTTCCCTTTTGTTGAACAAATGATTGTAGAAGAGGAGGAAAGGCTTGGCAGTTAAAACACAGAGAAGGAGGCTTGAATTAACATAGTCTGAAATTAAGCCCCTGAAGAAATTTCTGAATCAAAATTACTTCACCCCACATGTAAACTTGGCTAATTGAAGGGGAGCTGAGACTATTTCCCAGGGGCAGGATGAGGACTGACAAAGTAAGTCCTTACCAACCTCAATTTGTTAAACAATAAGGAACATTTAGGATGTGAACCTGAAATGCATCTTGATCTACTTGCCCCATGAGCTATTCCCACCGAGCAGGGCAGAAGTCACCCTGGCATGGCCAAGTGCCTCATGTCCCCATGTCCAGTGCCCTGCCCTGACACAGCCTCTCTCCCACAGACATACAGGCGATGGAGCTCCGAAGGCCGAGGAGGAAGACGAGGCCATGACGCCCCAATGATCGCGTACGACGCCCTGCTGGGCTGCGGTGGGGACTGGACAGAGCTCTGCAACCGCTCCATGTTCCACGGAGGTGAGGGTTCCCCTTCCAACCCCTGCTCCCTCACCAGGGGCAGGGTAAAATCACAGAGTCATAGAACCATCCAGATTGGAGGAGACCTCTAAGATCATCCAGTCCAACCATTAACCTGTCACTGCTGGAAACCCTAAACCCTAAACCAGATCCTCCAGTGCCAAATCCAGATGCCTCTTCAACACTCCCAGGGATGGTGACTCCACCACCTCCCTGGGCAATATCCCAGTGCCTCAACACCCTCACAGGGAAAACATTTCTCTTCACATCCAATCTGACTCTGCCCTGGCTCAGCTCAAGGCCATTCCCTCTAGTCCTCTCCATGCAGGGAAGTTTATTCCTGTGAGGGTGGTGAGACACTGTCCCAGGTTGCCCAGGGAGGCTGTGGCTGCCC